ACACACACACACACACACACACACACACACACATACACACACCACAGAGCTCCAAACACAAGAGGTATCACAAAGATCCACACAGACCCTTTGGGTCATGAGGAGGCATGCTGTCATAAACTGGTATTCCTCATAGGAAACAAAGAGCACACAGACATCTCTAGCTCATACATGCAAAGACACTTGCATGCACATAGACACAGGCTGGTCAGTCACATACACGAACATACAAAAACAACACATGCATGTATGTAGCCACTGAGTAGGCACATTGCTCACCCCCAGAGATAAAGCACATCATACCCACATAAGCATATAGGCACACACAGTTCATACATGCAAATTCACACAGTTTATGCAAAAACAAAACCACAGGACAGGGATGCAAGCATGGCCACTGCAAAAGTACAGTCACAAGTATTACACACAAAGGCACACCACCTACCTAAACAGATAGCACGAATGGACACACTCTTTAGACGTGGATACAAGGACTCGTTACTCCACTGCAGCCTCACATCACATACACCAGCACACATGGGCACAAAAGATGCAAAACCGTAGTTTATTTCATGAATTTATTCTTAGCAGGGTCTATTCTGCGCCAGACGTTTCCCAAGGTTTAGAGTATTACGTTTAGATCCTCACAACAGCCCCCCAAGACAGGTGCTTTTATCATGCCCAATGTACAGGTAAGGAAATTGAGGCACAGAGAGGGACAGTCACCTGCTCCATGTGCACAACTGGGGATTGACAAAGCTAAGGATAGAAATTGTCCGTCAGGGACACCAACACATCAGACAAGACATACACACACACATCACGTGCCAGGCTGCAGTCTCGGGGTCCCACCCCACCCGGCGGCACACAGAGCTGCAGACACACCCAGAAGCGCAGACTGCCGCCCTCGGCGAGGATGTCTCCATGATCCAGGAATACCTGCAACTCGTCCCCCCAGCGAGGCTAGACGGGAACTGCGCGCAGCACGGCTCTCTGGGCGCACTGGGAGGAGGGGAGGCCTCACAGGGACTTACTGAGGAAACTGAGGCAGGACATCGTGGGACGGAGGAGCAGCAAGGTACAGGGAACGGGACTGGGGTGAACCGGGAGTGAGCAGGCAAACCTACCTCCCTGGCTGGAGTGCCAGAACCTAGAGGAAGAGAGACTTATGGGGAGTTGTAGGCCTGCGCAGAGTCTTCTGGGAAATGCAGTCCTTGTTGGTCCCGCTGGGACGCTCAGGTTGCGCCACCTGCGGAGATTAGCATGAGGGTAGCAGGCAGGGCGTCTGCTACCCGAGATGAGGTCGGGAAACTTGCTGTTTGTTCTTTAAGTTTGAAAGGGTCAGCTATGAGGCAGAAGTCAGGACTGCCAGAAGGAGCCGGCTGTGACGCCCAGCTCTTCGATCTCCACCGGAGTTTGGTGTAGATTTGCTTTGGTGAGACAGGGCTCACTGTCTACCCAAGCTCTCCTGAAACTCACTCTGTAACTCAGGTCGGCCATGAACTTGCAACAGTCCTCTGGCCTCATTCTCCTGAGTGCTGGGATTACAGGTGTGGTCCAAGCAACATTTTTAAAAAGTATTATTTAATAATATTAATGTGTTATTAATATAATAATTTATTATTATTACTATTATTGGGATGGAGTGAGGTAGAGCCAGCAGAGTGCAGTTACTTCAGAGAACATGCCAATGGTTTTCTTGAGGCTAAGTTTGGTATCCAAACCCTAAGGTCAGGAAGCTTTCTGTCCCAATAGGGTCCGTTCCTGCCATGAGCACTAAGACCATTGAAACAGTGCCTTGCATTGTTGAAAGCGTTTGGATATTGTTGAGGCCACACCTGTGGACGGTTCAATTGTTTTTAGGACATACTTTGTTCCGAAATTTATGATAAAACGTCATTAGAAGGATGTGGTCACTGTGTTGTAGGGTGGGTGTGTGTGTGTGTGTGTGTGTGTGTGTGTGTGTGTTTACCTGTGCAGGCAAGCGTGGAGACCAGACTGGCTTCAGGTGACCTCCTCAGTCACTCCTCACCTTATCTTCTGAGATAGGGCCTGTCACTGAACCTGGAGTCCATGGTTTCAGATGGGCTGATGAGCAAGCCCCCAGGGTTTGCTTGCTTCTGCCCTCCGTGCTGACTTACAAATGTGCGCTCAATGCTGAGATCTTAACCTGGGCCCCTATACATGCACAGCCAACACTTTACTCACTGAGCCACCTCTCCAGTCCCCTGGGTTCTATCCCCAGACCCACAAAGCCAAAACAAACAAGCTGTAACTACTCACTTTGTCTCTCTCTCTCTCTCTCTGTGTGTGTGTGTGTGTGTGTGTGTGTGTGTGTGTTTTGTTTAGGGTTTGGTTTGGTTTGGTTTGAAGAAAAGTTGAGACAGGGTCTCACCATATGGCCCTAGAACTTGCTATGTAAACCAGACTGGCCTCAAACTCATAATGATCCACCTGCCTCTGGATCCTGAATGCTGGGATTAAAGGAGTGTGTCAACACACTCAGAAATTCAGGTTCTCTGCAAGAACAGCAGGTGCTCTTAACCAGTGAGCCATTTCTCCAGCCCCAGTTCTGAGACAAAAGTGGAGGCTTCACTTTTTAGGCTGAATATATGCTCCTAACAATCTTTTTTGCCTCTGCTTCCCAAATACCAGGACTGTAAGTGTCAGCCACCATATCTACTTTATTTCTCTTATTTTTGATTTTTGATTAGAAAGAAAATTATTTTAAATGTCAATCCCAGGTCCCTCTCCCTCCCCTCCTCCTCTGCCCCCCCCAACTAACACCCTACCTATCCCATACCCTTTCTGCTCCCCAGGGGGGTGAGGACTGCAATCTGTGGTTTTCAAAGTCTGTTATATTCTTTGGAATAGGGCCTAGGCCGACCCCCTTGTGTCTAAGCTCAGGGAGTATCCCTCCATATGGGATGGGCTCCTAAAGTCCATTCCTATGGTAGTGATAAGGACTGATCCACTACAAGAGGCCCCATAGATTTCCAAGGTCTCCTCACTGACACCCACATTGATGGGGTCTGGATCAGTTCCATGCTGGTTTCCCAGCTATCAGTCTGTGGACCAAGAGCTCTCCCTTGTTCAGGTCAGCTCTTTCTGTGGCTTTCACCAGCCTGGTATGGACCCCTTTGCTCATCAGTCCTCCTCTGCAACTGGATTTCAGTTCAGTTCAAGGTTTAGCTGTGGGTGTAGGCTTCTACTTCCACCAGCTGCTGAGTGAAGGCTATATGATGTCATATGAATTAGTCATCAATCTCATTATCAGGGGAGGGCATTTAAGGTAGCCTCTCCTCTGTTGCTTAGATTATTA